GGTGGTGTGGTAATCAAAGGCCCTGGACTCCCACATGGCTGACCATAGTTTGAATCCCGGCCCTGGTCCCTTGCTTTCTCACTCTCCCTCTCTCTGTCTCTGGTCAAGTTAGAAAAAAGTAATAATGATAATAATAAATGAACTAAAATAAAATAATTTTAAAAATGTTCAGCAGAAAAATGCCAAGAGGAAGAAAGCAAGGATGAGACGAATGAAGAGGCAAAATCAGTTAAGGTGAAAATCAACGTCAATTAAAAAGATAGAAAAGGCCAGGACAAAGAAAAAGGCAAGAAAAGGCCAGATAAAGGAAAAGCCAAACCTATAGTGAGTTATCTTGACAGGGAGGAGCACAAGAATGATAATGAATAGTCAGAAGCAAGTGGGACCAATGATAACCAAAATTGACCATGGGAAAATTAAAGGAGGAATAAAGACAAAAAAAGAAACAAAACAAACAAACAAATATAAAAGAAAACAATATTAAAAACAAAGAAGCAAGTGGGACCAATGATAACCAAAATTAACCATGGAATAAGTAAACAACAGAAAAACAACAAAAATGAGACCCCTGAGGGACAGTAAGTCGCTCTTGAACTACAGCCTGTCTATGGACAAGGGAGGAGCACACCCTGAAGTGAAAAAAGGGATGTAGCTTGATATAGAGCACATGACAAAACTAGCCAGAGGAGTCGTCGTAAAGTTTGAGCACTGATACCTCTACTGTGCCCTGAAAATACAAATTCCTACTACTTCACTGGACAACTCTGGGGCAGCACCCCAGATCCCACTCACCAGAACCCGGGGAAAACAGCAGAAAAGCAGAAACAGCTGGATTGGTTAAGGCAGTACCCATCCATACCTTGTACTAATAAATGAATGAAACCTGTGTACATGAGAACTGGACTCTTATCATGATCACCTTAGACTATAAGCATGAACTAAGATAGAATGGGAAGGGTCACACGGGAACACACATAATAAAGGTACAAGCTTACTCATGAAATATTTTGAAGACGTCCCAGAGGTCAACGAAGAGAGTTCACAGATAGGGAGGTCACGATAAGGAGCCCCTCATTTTGTACTGGGGAATTTTGCAGATGATGGTCAGAGGAAGGGGATGCATTTAGCGCAGAAAAGCAAGGAACCCCAGGCAGTGCCAGCGGTCATTGTGAGGACCCTGAGTAAGGACAGAGGGACCCCAAAAAAACTCCCCTACAAACTACCATGCACACTCCTCCATGATCTACCTGCAGCAGCCAGGTCTGGAAGACCCCTACCCATTAAGGTCTTTGGTTTGAGGGCTTGTCCCCATGTCAGTAGAGAGGAAGTGGCCCAGCACCTACCTGTAGGGAGTCAAGGTAAGACCTGAGACGGGACTGAGGGCAGCATCCACCCCACGAGAGAGACCCCACAAAGCCCCACCCCTGCTGTCAGTTATGGGAGGTCCCAGGCATGGCTGCTGGGCTTAGACTCCCACTCACTACTGACTGGGATCTCTCAGGAGAAAGGAGATCCTTGGCGTAAGTCTGGGGGACTCACCCAACAGGGGGCACGGTGCCAAGGCGTGCAGAAAGTCAACGAAAAGACTTCAGGAGGGTCCCCTGGGACACGCTGGCCCACACCAGCGGGAGCAACAGAGCCCCGCCCTTCCTGCGCAGATTGGGGGGCAGGTGGGCGTGGCCGGAAGTGGCTAACCCTGACTTCCTCCTCTCCTAACCGTTGGGGGTGAGGTGTCTGTGGAGGAGGTGCAGCCTCAGGCCGTTGCCGGAGGCGTCTGATCCGTGTCTTATCAGGTATATGCTCAGGTGTCTGGGTGGGCAGTGTACATCAGGAGAGCTGGCCTGGCCGCGACCACAGTGACCACCTTGTTCTGAGCAGGGGAGGCCGCACAGGGCACCGGGCCTGCTCTCTTCCCAGGAGCCTCCAGCATGACCGTAGAGGCCCTAAGCCCCTTCGCTTCCCCAAGGGTGTGGGCAAATAAAGACCTTGGTCTGAGGCTGGTCGGCTCAGGTTGGCAGAGGGAGAAACCCCAGAATAAAAGAGGGCCCCTGGGGAGGACTGGGTGGACCCCATGTCCCAGAATGGGGGGATGGGGGAAGTCAGGGGGATGGGTGAATGCAAATGGAGGATGCCCCCATCAGAATGGGGGGTGGGCGGTGTGGGAGGCAGGGGGGATGGAGCAGGGCTGGGGAAACAAGGGGGTGGATTGGGGTGGAGATGGAGCTGGGCAGTGGGGTGTGCAGTGGGCAGAGAGGGGCAGATGGGGAGCACGATGGGTGTTGGAGAGGAGGGGCAGTGGTGGAAGCCTGCTGTTCGCAGCACTCACCAGTGATAATGGCCAGGGAGGGTCTGGACAGGCTTAAAGACGGAATTGCTCCCTCATTTTGTCCTTGGGGAACTTTGGGAGGTGGGGCCTGTTCTGGGGGCTGCCAAGCAGGGGACAGTTTATATGTTATATGATGAATAAAGCTGAAGAAACTGATCACTGTGGCAACCACTCTGACAACAGGGACACCTCTGAGTCCTTAGCTGATATCATCCAGGGAAACCCAGACCTATGTGTCATTTAAGGGCCCCTTCCTCAGTTTCTCCTCTGGGATCATCTACAAGCGATGACTTTTTTCTGAGGGGACAGTCACATTTCAGTGAACAGAATGATTTTAATCTGTTCCAGGGATCAAACAGGTCCTTGTCGCAGCACTCACCACTGATAATGGCCAGGGAGGGTCCGGACAGGTTTAAAGACGGAATTGCTCCCTCATTTTGTCCTTGGGAGAACTCTGAGAGGTGAGGCCACTTGTGGGGGCTGCCAGGCAGAGGACAGTTTACATGTTATCTGATGAGTCAGGCTGAAGAAACTGATCACTGTGGCAACCACACTCTGTGGCAACAGGGACACCTCTGAGTCCTTAGCTGACATCATCCAGGGAAACCCAGACCTATGTCTCATTCGAGGGCTCCTTCCTCAGTTCCTCCGCTGGGATCAGCGACAAGTGATGGCTTTTTTCTGAGGAGACAGTCACATTTCAGTGAACGGAATGATTTTAATCTGTTCCAGGGATCAAACAGGTCCTTGAGACCTCAATTTTCTGTTGCATCTTTCAGTTCTGAAGACTGTACACAAGTGGAGCCGAATAAGGACAAGCTGAATTGTTCTGCTTGGCTTTTAGGTAAGTCCTAACCTTAAAATGCTGAGATAGGGCTCAAGTAAAGAGGAAGGGAGACTCAGGTCCAACGGCAGGAGGAAGAGAGGATGCAGAGAGAGGACTGAGGTGTTAGCCATGGAGTGCAGGAGACAGGCAAGGTCCCTGACCCACCAATGCTCGCAGGGGCGGGGAAGGTGCATAGAGCCTGCAGAAGGGGCCTGGGGCAAGGCCAGTGCAGACTCTCCCTACTGAAAGTGCTCACACAGTGTCACTCTTCCCTTCTAGGTGCCTGCCTTGTCAGCCCTCCAGCTGTCCCTGGAAAGACACCATGCCTCGCGGTCAGAAGAGTAAGATCCGTGCCCGGGAGAAACGCCAACAGGCCCGTGGCATGACCCAGAGCCCCAGGGTCCCTCAGATCACCGCAGAAGGGGAAGAAGAGTCTTCCCCGTCCGCCTCTCCTGCCTGTGGAGGACGCAGCTCTCCTTGCAGCTCTCCTGCTGCCTGCTCTCCCCCAGAGTCTCAGGGAGACCCACCCACTAGCTCCCCTGATGCAGGTGCCTCAGGCACAAAATCTGATGTAGGGGCCCAGAGCCTGGAGGAGGCAAGTCCAATAACCTCTCAGGCAGCATTTGCTGCCCTATGGTCATGCAGAGATCCTCTCACCAGGAAGGCCGGTCAGTTGGTACAATTCCTGTTGGAGAAGTATAAAGAGAACCAGCCACT